CATTGTAAAAAAAAAAAAGACAGAAAGTTAAGATACAAACCACTAGAATAATAACTGAGTAAACAAATTATGTCTCTTCCGGAAAACAAAACAAAACAAAACAAAAACAACACAAAACCCTACTACGATGGAAACAACTGCTACGTGTTGAATGCTCACCAAGGGAAAACAGCTCTGGGAAGCAGCCTCAGCTCCACACTGCTTGAGGTAGTCTGCCCAGTCAAAGTCTTGCCCAGGGTAGCCTATGAATGAACAAGCAAAATTTCTCTCAAACTGTAGCTTAATATGCATAGGTCCTCCGGACATATTAACACCTTTATTTTCAAACCAGATATTTGGTTAAGATACCTACACACTATACAAAAGCCCTCTTCAAATGATAAATGTAGGGTTAAAAGAATGCATGCAGACAGGGGATGCCCAAGAGCCAGTTTGGAGTAGTGGTTAAGAGCTGTGGACTCTAATCTGGAGAACTGGGTTTGATTCCCCACTCCTCCACATGAAGTCAGCTAGAAGAGAAGAAGAGGAGGAGACTGGATTTATACCCTGCCCTTCACTCGTGTGGATGCCTCCCTCACATTCTAGTAATTGCACATGGGTTTTTCCTGATTCCACTCTATACACCCTGTTATTCCCTGGGATATACTATTTGGAGAGGGCTACAATGATACTATCCTTACATATACACACTTTACACACTTGCTTATGTACTATGAAAAATATTACACAGTTTAGCAATATAATACAAGTAGGATAGTACGTGCAACTGGGCAACCAAGGTAGAGTTTTATCCTGTGGAACACAGCATTTTCATGTATACAGCAGACTATTTTAAAGAGATCAGCTAATATGAGTACAGAAAGATTGCATGTGCTTACCAGGCGGAGGGCTGAGATGCAAACCATTCTTTAGACTCCACTGCACAGGAAAAATACCAGCACTGTTGACATGACAGACATAAGACTTGCTTGTAGTATGATCTGATCGCAGATCATCTATTTCTATCATGAAATATTTATCATCGAATACCTAAAAGAAAAAAACAGAGACATGACTCGACAGTTGTATATATGAGCAAGATAAATTTGCTATACTGGAGGTTAGATCCATCAACTCACAGATACTAGGTTCTTAGGTCCCCCCCCCCCCAGTAGTCCTTTCTGAAGGTTTGTTCCCAGGAGCTCTGCAGACAAACAGGCATATGGGTTGAAGGCAGTGAAATTGCTGTGCTGATGCAAGAGGCAGAACAGGCTATTTTGTGCCATCGGGGGCAGTGTACAGAAAGGTCCATGGTCACCAGCTCCTTCCATTGATGGATCTCTGGGTTCAATTCCAAGTTTCCTAAAACTTCTGTTTCTATTTCTAGGCCAGGTTCCCAAAAGATACTGTCAAAGGCTTGAGTTTGTCCAACTGGATTTTTGACTTAAAACAACACCAACAGATGGATTCCATGCCATACCACAGTCAGCTTTAGAAAGTCAGTTCAGTTTCCAAAGTATGCTGCTATGAGGAACAGGAGATGTCATTAAAACATATGGCCAAATACCATTTTTTTGTGGGGAGGTGTATAACACGGAATTAGATGTGCACTTCTTTGTGTCCTACCCATTATATACTTAATACTTGAAATATATTTTTCATTTTTTTAAAAAAAGGAAATAAAGAAGCCCAAAGCATCTTGCACACCTTGATACAGACAAAAGACACAAAAAGCAGGAAAAGGAAGGGCAAGGAAGAATGTGAGAACAAGTTATAATATAAATTTAAATGTATAAATATAAATTTAATGTACAAATGAAAAGTTAAAACAAGAAGAAAATAGTAGGCAAGAGCACCATGAAAAAAGATTTCGATACTTCATAGGAAAGGGGAAAAGAAAAGTGGCATGTTCAAGAAGAGCATCACGGGAGTTGGGAGTGAGAAGGTAAAAAAGAATGCTCAGTGGCACAAGAAATCTTCAGCTTACCCAGAAGAAGAGTAAAGAGAAATGAAGAGGCTACCCTGGCCTGGATCAATGAATCAAGGACAAAAGATAAGGACAAGCTAAGCTACTGAGACCCTTAAAAGTTTAAGCTGAATACAAAATCTGGAGCCTCCAAAGGGAGCTTTACAGGAGTCAGAATCTTCTTACACAAAATACATTAAATTAATTTTAAAATGCTCCATTTAAAAGCAATTGCTATCAAAGTAAAATTTTCCCTTTGACAACATCTAATTAGGCAAAAATAAAAAGTAGGCACACTACACCAGAGCCTTACATAGCACATACTAATGATTGCATGGACTCCCTCTACACCAGATACTGTACCTTTTCTTTTCAGAAATCAAGACAATTACGATAATTAACTGCTGGGGTTGATCAGATTGAGGCTAGAAGGGGATTGTATTAAGTCTGCAGCTGATCAGAAGATGGAGAAGGAAAGTACAAGATAGAAGGTAGGATAGTGGTAACAGAACAAATGTGACAACTAGGTATGCTATTTTATGTCAAAACAATGACATGACACCTTGGAAATAGTAAGACACATCAAGATAACACCAGATAAGATAAAGAGAATTCTGGCTAGGCAACGAAAGTGGGTTGACATTATTGACTACAGAACTGCCAGCTGCCGCAATAGTTTATTGCTGAGAAAATGACAGAAAAAGTGCTCTCTCTCTCTCACACACACAGAGTCATGATGACATCTACACAGAAGAAGACAGATTTTTATTTTTTAAAAGAGCCAGATATGTTTTTGGATATAATGTGAATTATGGTGAATGGTGCCCTCTTCTTTCTTGACACTTCCTGAGACCCTGAAGCTTCTGCCTTCAAATCATCCCTGCTTTAAGTCTCAACTCATTTGTCCCATCTCCCATAGCAATTATCCCCAGACCTGACTTACTTCCTCCATAGCTTATGCTCTTGTACAGAAATCCTCTGAAAGAGTGGGAAAAGAACTGAAATATCACCCTTTCCGCCTTTTCATCTACTGTATACCGGGCTTGGCAAAACTACACTACCCCCTCAATCCACATCAATTCTAGGAATTCTCAGTCACCCTTCACCACTGATGACCACTAAAACCTACCTGCTTTCCCCCTCTTACTCTTTGCTTAAAATACTGCCTCCTTCTTTAATGGTAAAATTGTATTCTTTACTCAATCTTCTGCTCCTCCAGCTCTCCCTTCTTCCTTTTCCTCCTCTAATCCTTCCCTCCCCTCCCATCTCAACTTGATGAGTTGACTACTGCACTAACTGTATCCAGTATTCCCACACAGAGAAGGTCTTCCTATGATTCGCTTTGCCTGCTAGGGTCTCCCAGGGTTCTGTCTTTGGCCCTCTTATTTTCTCTCTACACTTTATCTCTAGGAGACTTTATCAAATCCCATGGCTTCCAGTACAGCACATATGCTAATGACACCCAGCTTCATCTCACTCTCTGACCCTCAGGGCTTTTTTTGTAGAAAAAGCCCAGCAGGAACTCATTAGCATAATAGGCCACACCCAACAGCAGGAACTCATTAGCATATTAGGCCACACCTCCACGTTACCAGAAGTGTGCTCATCCAGCCATACCCACCTTTTGCTTCTTATTCTGTTTACCTTGTTTGTTGTCAAAACTCAGGGCTTTTTTGTAGCAGGAACTCCTTTGCGTGTTAGGCCACACACCCCTAATGTAGCCAATCCTAATGAGTTTCTGCTGTTGGGTGTGGCCTATCATGCTAATGAGTTCCTGCTGGGCGTGGCAAACTTGGGAGCCAGCCGGAACTCCATTCCTGTGCGTTCCTGCCCAAAAATAGCCCTGCTGACCCTTATCGTTCTCCTTTCATCCAGTCCCACAACTTCAATTGTCTCTGTGATAGTAATGAGACATTCAAGTAGAACTATCTCAAACTCAGTGTGTTCAAGACTGAAATCTTCCTTTTTCCTCCCTCCTTTTCTCATATATCCTGCATTAGCATCACTACCACACAAGCTGGAGAACAAACAGTAAACTTCAGCTTTGAGATTTTTCTCTATTTCACTTCTCGTATTCAGTCTGCTGCAGATACATCAGTTCTCTGTATCATTGCAAAAGTATGACTCTCTGACCTCAGTGCAAATTCTGAAACTTGCTCCAGACATCTCTCATCTTGGTTACTGTAACCTTGCCTTTGGTTGTCCTTGGTCACACTTAAATCCCTAGTCTTGCGTTTCCAGATGGACCACAACTCTTCTCTTACTAGTACCTTTATAACAGTAGCAGGTGAGATGATAAAAGGTGCTTCCAGATCAACAGCTTCTAACTTCATGTTCACAGCAAATGAGTGGATGCCAACAACAGGTTTGTCCTAAAAATGACACGGAAATATTAATTAGTCCTGAGATTCACTATAGTGTTGGCAATAGCCTGGATAAAAATACACTGACCCTTTAATAAAGGGTTAATCTGCAGAAATGGGAAGGTGGAACCTTTTCATGGTGTGGAGATAAATCACATTACCTGGTAAATAACATCCCATTAAACTTCTATTAAAGGGACAACATTTTTTTCTCCAGGCCAGTTGATGACACCAATTACCTAAATTTATCCCTCTTTTCAGTTAATGTTGTTCATAATAAAAAGGAGAGTTTCAGAGTATCGACCACTGTACAACTAAAAATATACCCCCTTAGCATTTCACATTTCAATAAGACATTAATGGATTTAGAAGGGTGTAACTCTGTTTAGGATTACACTGTCAGCTTACACCAAACTGCTGACAGCATTTGCTCTCATACTGAACTGGGCATGACATTCTTTTTCATTCCAATGGAACTGGATTTAACACAATGCTTTTTTAAAATCTAGAGATTTCTAGTCTTGGAATATGCAATAAGGCAACAGAAGCCTAAAGAAATGTTTGTCTGCCTCCAAAAGAGATAGCATCAGTACCTTTTCCCATTTGCACAAGCACCCTTGTTCTAGAAGGGGAAAGAGCATGCTATTGACTTTCTCCCCCTGCATCAAAGCTGCTATTTGTCTCTGTGACAGAATGTGGCTGCTCTGGCCTGCAGGCCCTATTCCATGCTGTTAACCTAGGTTTTTCTCAACAGGGTAACTTGCCACTACCACGTGACCCTTTGTACAGAATTGCCCCTGGAAGCCTGCTCTGGCCTGCAGGTCCTATTCCATGCTGTTAACCTAGGCTTTTCTCAACAGGGTAACTTGCCACCACCACGTGACCCTTTGTACAGAATTGTCCCCTGGGAGGGTCAGGAGAACTCCTAGCTTCCCTTCATAGATCTGAGGCCTAGCCTCTGTGTCTTCCACTGACCAGTGCCTGGTTACCACAGGGGCAGTTTACATCCTTGCGTGCCCCTGCAGGAATACCCACTTGCCAACTACCTGCCTTCCCCCTGGCACTCCTTTTAAAATAGCGTGCCCAAAATGGTGGAGATCTATGTGGTCCAGAGAATACCTGCTGCCACTCAAAGTTATAAAGTATTTATTTAAAAGAAAATGTTTACAAGCATACGGTTAGCACAGCACCACACTGAGCAAAGGTTACAAAAGAAATGGGCAAAAATGCAAATCCTCTGTCCCTTTCTCTATACATGCCCTATCTGGTGTTAAAATAGGATCGGCTCCTTTTGCTTAGGATGTTACAGATCCCCATAAAGTCTCCATTATCTTGAAACTTGCTCCACCTCTTGAGGTGAGCACATGGTCAATGGCTGCCTTCCCAGAGGTTTCTGTGTGCTCATGGATGCGGCACCCAAAAAACATTCTGTGTGCTCATGGATGCGGCACCCAAGGAAAACAGACCTCCTTCCTGTTGCAAGGAGTTTTTATCATATCGTTTTTTCCACCCACTGACCAGGTCTCTCCAAGTCAAAGAAGCATTTCCTAGGGCTTCTTTCTGGAGATTATTCCTGGACCTGTTCTAGCCTAAAGTCCTCCAAGCCTCTGTTCCCTGTGTGAAGGGGGGAGAAGGGAGGGAAGCTGGGCCATTCCACTGTTTCTAGCTAGACACATTAGCATTTCTTAAGAGGTAGCTGAGGTGACTTCCTCCTTCCCAGCCTGGTCTCTGCCCAGAGGGAGGGAAAACTGTTAAAATGCAAAGTAGAGGTTTTGTTCCTTTCAAACCTCCCAGGAAAAAAAAAATGCATTTCTTCACAGTCTCTTCCAGGAAAACATAGCTAACTGTATATTTTACCCTTACCCAGCAAACTACAATTTACAGCACTGGTAGTGTTGGTTTGCTTTGGGAAAACAGCAGAGGAAAGGCTTCCCTACTAGAATACTGCAGACCTGTTCTGAAGCGCTGTAATTTTTGTAAAAGCCACCATTTTGTGACTGGCGACTTCCATGTATCTCCCAGAAGAATCAAGTCTGCCCTCCCCTGAATTATATTAGGTCCAAATAAACTGGGGCAGGACATCATCTTTTACTGTGTCCCAGAACAACCCATCAGACTCACCAAGAGGGCTTTCTGAAAATAAACCATGCAGGCAAGCTAGGACACTAACAATGCAATCCTAACTAGAATTACTCCATTCCAACCGCACTGACTTCAATGAAGGGTATAAACTCTGCTTACAATAGTATTGTAAGAGTACTGAAGAAAAGCATTCTTACACCTTCTTATGGACAAGGAATCTTTTGAAAGTATTATAAGACTACTATTTAGTCTAGAATTGGGCATGAGTAGGTGGCAGAATTAATGTTTTTCTGTTCTATTGATATTATTATCATATCATCTAACAGTGAAGTCTGCCCCATCTGCGGATATTTAAATCCATGGATTGCAGCTACACAGAAAGAAGAAAGTATGCAGAAAAATCTGAAAACATTTAAAAATACACTGGAGGGGTTAAATCGCCCACCCAATGAGCTTTGTCTGTACCAAGGCTGTGAAGCTGCAGGCAGGGGTGTCGCTGGCCTCATTGTTGTTGAGGGAGTGAAACTGTATGCACGTTTTAGATTCACTGCTGTTGCTGGGAGGGGTAGCAGCTGGGGGGGGGGGCAAACAGGAAGGCTGCCATCGTTACCATAAGGGATCAAAATTGCCAGCTGCGAGGCAGCAAAAGCCACAGTTGCTGTGTGTGAGGCAAAGCTGCTGGGCAGCTGGGAGAGCTCCCATCATTGCTGTCTGTGTGATGGAGTTGTTGGGCGGCTGGGGCAGTTGCTGCCATTGTTGTTGTTGTGAAGGGAAGTAGGTAGGTGGCTGGGACATGAAGGGTAAGACACCAAATGAAGCTGCCTCTTCTGTAGAGGCAGCCAGGAGAGCCACCGTTGTTCTGGGTGGGGGCAAGCTGCTGTTATCTGGGAGGGTGATAGGGTAGGGGAGGCAGAAAGAGAGAAAAAGTGGCAGGCATGGGGGAGAAAGAGTAAGAAAAGGGATGGTGGGAGGGAGAAACAGTGACTGAGAGAAGTAGGGAGAGGAGGAAGCAAAGCTGGGGTGAATGGAAACCCTGCTCCCATAAGTTTCTCACCAGTCCCTTCTTGTTTAATATATATTTCAGATAATTACACACCCAGAGCCTTTGAGATTCAGTGGGCTAAAAGGCTAATTGAAATGGGCTTACATGACTTGTTCTCCATTATTACTTTTTCTACTTATTTAACTGTATAATTTGCTGTTAAGGGCTCACCCAAATTAATCCATTGTACAATACTCCATTGAGAGGTACCAGGTTTCATACCTTGAACAAATCAGTGGGCACCAAAGATTCTTCTTCTTCCTGTTTTACTGTTGCTAGAATCTCCTGCCATTCTGCCTCAGTCTTCAAGTGCCTAAAAGCTTCAATGAAAGAACAGGACCTTTGTGAGTGAAGACAGGCCCATAAATAATCAACCTTTCATGCCAGTTATCATGTTATGTTAACATGAAAACACAGCACATTTTAAAAATAATTAATTACACTCCTCTAGTACCATAGCTAAATCAATAGGCTGCAAATAGTTATCAAAGCTACACATTATTTTTATGCAAGCAAAGACATAAAGGTGTGAATTTCCTCATTGTCAAGTTCCACCAGTAGCATTTTGGATGACTTTTAAACTGCATGCCTACTGTATTTTCCACTGAGGTTCCCTTTTGCCAGAGTTCATGCCAAATCTCCAATACGTTTTTAAACTCAGAAAAAATTAAGAATTAAGTGTGAGATGTCAGCTGCTGGAAACAGGTTAGGGTTGAGAATAGCAACAAAGAAAAATTGCTGTAGAGTCCTTAAGGATCTCTAGTGCACTGTCTTTGTAAAGCTGTAGTTTTTGCCTTTAAGAGCATACAAACCCCAAGTGTTCTCAGAATATGTCAGTGTTCTCAGAATATGTCAATCTGTGTTCCATGTTATTCAGAGGAAAACAAAAGAACTGTCAAATCCTTAGCATGAAGAATACTAACTTGTCTCCATTCTCACAGCAGTGATGAGAAGTGGGCACCTAAAGTTAGCCTCACTTGCATTTCATTTGGTTTCCTACCCTTCATGATGACCTTCTTGATGCCATCACAGTATGTTAATTTTTGACTGGACCGAGGGATCCTTGAGGCTGAGGCCAAAAAATTGCTACTCAAGGCTTCCAAAAATGGATGCAGCTAGCTCAAGTTACCTTTTCACTGTTCCCAGAAACACTACTTCTCTGCCCACCATTTTTTCCTCATAGTTTAGCATTCTGCATTAAAGCACACTAGTGAACACCTAATCCCTGAAATCCTTCATTTGGATGTCGATATGCCCCAGGTTTGAGGCAAGACATACTTTGACAAGTTTACATGTTAATCTGTTCTTTGTTCCAAGCAAGTAAATCCTGTTAGCAAGCCTACAGGTGCGCACAGAAATTAGGCTCCATTAAAAATTGTAGATAAATAAATGTAAAATATGTAAATAATAAATAAATAAATGTAAAACAAACTCTTCTCATTAAAACTTGCTATCATAACGTTTGCCTGAAAATTCTGCTTTGTACCTAATGGAGGTTCAAGGACGTAACCCTGCTGAGTTGCCCAACCCACAGGATGGAGAAAGGGATCCAAGTAGAACATCCACAAGTCATACTGATCTAAATCTCCAAGTCCTTCATAACGCAGTTTAAGCCTTCCACCAATATTTTCTATTACATTGACTATCCAAGCTCCCAGGGAATCCTTCGTGTGCTGGCATTCTAGTCTTGAACCAGGTGCGATTAGATCCAAAGGATTCTTCCCTCTATGGAGCTGCAGGGGGGGGGGGGGGGAAAGAATACTCAGTGTCTATTCACCAGGACTCAAATGACATTAAGACAAATATTCATCTCCATTGTTCTTGCTGAATTCTATGCAAGCCTTTACCATGACTACTACTAGATCA